CAACATGAGACAGATTAAGAAGAGAAAGAAACAAATTTAATTACATTTGTCTGGGAACCCCACCTATATGAAAGGTTCAGTGACAGAAAGTTAAAATGAGGCGTATATGGCATTTAGAGCTAAGGATGACGTAAGGCACTTTGGGGCATCAGAGGAAAGGGCATCCCCAGGAGGATCAGAAGGGCAGATACTCAGTAATTAGATGTTTGCCCTGCCCTCCACATAGGTCATAGGACATTATCTCCAGTAATGACTTATTATGGGCAAGGCCCCTCATTTAAATTTTTTTAAGGGAGAGGTAGAAATTTCTCATGAGCCTACAGGGTCTTGACTAGAACCTCAGTTTAAAATAATGCACATGCCAAAGTGGCACACGTCGGGGAGGCCTGTTCTGAACCCTCAAATCTCCATAAAATGCATAAACTATGGGGTCCTCTGTGTTGGTGAATGCATCCAAGTGCTAGGAGGGTGGCGTACCCCAACCCCACAGGGACAGAGGCTCTCGTCTTCAGAACCCTTCTGGGTGTCTTCATTCCCATCCCTTGTGATACCCTTTATGATGAACTGGTAGATAGAAATGTTTCCTTTAGTTCTGTGAGTCATTCTAACAAATTATCAACCCCCAGGAGAAGGTCTTGGGAATCCCTGATTTCTATTATAGCTGGTTGGTCAGAGGTATGGAAGGCCTGGCCGTGCCATGGGCATCGGAAGTGGGGGCCGGCTTGTGGGTCTGAGCCATTAACTGTGGGTCCCAATGCTAACACCAGCTGGATAGTGTCAGAACTGGTTTGTACTATGGGACACCCAGCTGGCGTAGGAGAACTGGGCCCTGTGGGTAGTGTTGGTTTAAACAGTAGAAAAAAACACAAAGGTTTCCTTTCACTCAGTAACCACAAAGGAAAAGGGTGTCTCAGCCTTGACTTTCAGGAGGAGAAGGAAAATAAGTATTTATTTCCTGAGAATTCTAACAGCCTTATTGCATCACCATCTCTGGGAACGAGACTCCCTGCCTTCCATGCTTAGAAACCCTGGGGAATTCTGGTCCTTTTTCCTCTGTCTGCTGAGGTTCCGGGTCTCCTTGAAAGCCTCCAGTTCATTGAGGGACAGTCCTTGTCCCTGTCCTTTACAGTGTGAACAAAAATGGGGGCCTATGCCATGAACCTGACAAGCTCAGGGGGAACCCATGGCAGGCAGGCCTGACAAGCTCAGTGACCAAAAGTAACCACACAGGAGGGTCTGATCAGAAATTGCTAGCTGGGCGAGCCACAGCAGGCAGTCAACTCCCAGGCCTCCAGCTGCCGTAGGCAAAGCCAGTCTTCACCGCGAGTGAGCCCTGTCCTGTTCTTATGCATCCAGGATAACAGCTTTGCAATGTCGCAGGAATTTTCTTTCTAGACCCTTCGCTGGCACAACCGCAGGCCCCAGAGCACAAGATCACCACAGCAGGAGACCACAGAACCCTTCCTTGTTATCTTGTTCCCCAAATACCAGTTCCATCTACTGTAAATGTTAATGATTAACCATCCTGTACCCACCAATGTAAAAAGGTGTGTTTCTCCATTTTTGCTTTTTATCCAATCCTACTGATTTCCCCGCGATGCTTTCTCCCACCTCGTGATGCATTTTATGTATCTTCCTGGTTTCTTTTTTCTTTGATTCTAAATGCAGAAAAGAAAGTGGCAAACTCCATTCACAGAAGCATTTTCTCAATCTGTTGCAATTTCGCTTCTGGGCATGTCTTCAAAATGAAGTGTCAAATAAACTCTTAGAAAATTTTTCTATAGGCTACACTTTCTTTGGTCAACAATAGCCATACCGGAAGTTCCTGAAGGGTTTCTTTTGCCTGGGTGAGGCTCTGGGTTCCTCCCTCCGTCTGATGCCACCTATATTATTGGACACTGAATATTCTCCCTCTTCTGCTCTCCTGATGGTCTAGGCTCTCCTGTGATCCGAGGGAGTTTATTCTTAGTTTCATATTCCTTTTGCCATTTCACTGGGATTTGGGGAACAAGAGGAGGTAAGTTTATTACTTCCGTGAGCTTTCACAAACTGTGGTTAGCCCAGCCAGAGTGGCTCAGTGGACGGAGGATCCTCCCGTGCACCAAGAGGTTGCTGGTTCAATTCTGGTCAGGGCACATGTCCGGGTTGCGGGGTCAGTCCCCAGGAGGGACGTGTAGAAACATGTGATGTTTCTTTCTCATCAATGTTTCTATCTCTCCCTTTCCCTTCCTCTGTCTCTCAAAATCAAGGAAAACATATTAAAAAATAAAAAACTGTGGTTATTAGCTAGCTGGTATTGGAAAAAGAAATAGATGTCTGTTTCACAGCTCACACAGTTGACCTCTGATAGTATTATCACTTCTTCACAGATGCATTCCTACCCTCAAAATATGCCCTGGGGACACTCAATGCCAGTGGGCCCTCACTGCCTCCCGCCTCGATGTCCCAGCCAGGAGCATGCCAAAGCCTCCTAAGCCCCTGGAGTTACCTGGGGAGGCCAGGGAACTAGCATTAGGTGGGGGTTCTAACTCCATTGATCTGAATAGTTGGGACAGGTGTGAGAGAACCTCTGAAAACATTCTCCATCATCTAGCTTTGCTGATTTTGTTTTTAAGATCCTTGTATCAGATAGGCTCCTTGTCCTTGATCTCCATAGATTCAACCAGTTCTTTTAGACTGAGGTATGATACTGTGATATAAGAAGAAATATAGATTTGGTCTTCAACCCTAGTTTCTAGCAAAAAAGTTCTAAAACCCTTGGAATTTCCTGAGTGGTCAGGGTGAGGGGCATCTATTGTTATTTATAACAAGCTCCTTTCAACCCTACCAGAGTTTATGCTAATGAGGTGACTCTTGGAAGAAGGGGGTTTGCAGCCAAGGAGACCAATCCTGGGATTAGAGGGTTGGTGCTTTCATTCCACCCCTGACCACCAAGGAGGGGAGGAGGGTTGAGGATTGCTTTAAACACCAATGGCCAAATGATTGAATCAATAATGGAATATCCGAAAGAATTCTAAATAAATAAAGGGTTTCTGAGAGCTTCTGGGTCAGTGAACACATCCAGGAGCCAGGAGGGTGGTGCACCCCAATTCTATGGAGACAGGAGCTCCTGACCCTTCAAGACCTCATCCTGTGTACCTCTTCATCAGGAAGCCAAATCAGACAGAGGTGTGGGTTACCTGAGGGCCTAGACTTGCAAGCAGCGTTTGATGGGGCGGGGAGTGGGGGGGGGGCGGTCTCATGGGCCTGAGCCCTAACTCAGTATAATTAGTGTCAGAATTAGTTATGTGAGGAGGGAAAACCTCACAGGCAAGCTGTTAGAAGTGTTGTGGGTAGGGAAATTGTTTTCTTTATGAGGTTACTTAGATGGCAAGAAAAAAAACCTCAAATATTTGTCAAAAGAATTTAAGAACAGCACTCCCCACACCCAATTTCTATGTGTTTTTAACAGAAAGCATAGAAAGAAAAAGAAAGCTACATATTCACTAGGCTCCATAAGCAGGTTGGTGTGATGCCAGAACCCATTCAAGTTGGATTGGCCTTGAGTAGTACTCTCAAGTTGATTTATAACCCAAGTCTCTTTACTATTCAAGGCAACACACAGCCCTAAGCCCAGGCATCAAAACAGCAACCAACAAATTAGCATTACCCTTGCAAAACTCAATCAAACATCTGCACCCAAAGGCTGACACACAAAGGCACTGCAGTGCACTCCAGGAGGCATAAATTATAACACTGGATTCACATACTTAAATGGAATGTGGCCATTTTTTGAAAAATATCTGCCACATACCCTTTTACTGGAGTATTTAATTTTGTATTTTAGTTGAACATGCTTGTTAAACATTACATGTCACAAAGTTTATATCTGTAAAAGCCTTCAATTGTGGATTTTTTTAAGGATACTCCATTAAACTCTCATAACAATCTGAGAAATGAAAGGAGAGATAACAAAGAAAAATGCATTGGAATCTGAGAAAAGTAGAAATAGAATAAGGTTCTTGACTTCCCGGGGGGGGGGAAAGATTTAGACACTAATTTTTTTTACTCTAAGTGCTCCTAAAATTAATATGTAAAAAATGTTTGTTAAAATTTAGCACTGACAATTAGAACAAATCATTAGAGGGGAAAAAGTAAAGGGCATGGATTTATAGACACAGAAACAGGCCTGGGAGGGCCATCGGCAGTAACAATGAACTGCTCATGGTTTCCTCGGTCCAGATGCACTGCCCACTTTCTCCTGTAGCCTGAGTACTGCCTCCATCTAGACCAGGGGTTCTCAACCTGTGGGTCGCGACCCCTTTGTGGGTCGAACGACCCTTTCACAGGGGTCGCCTAAGACCATCGGAAAACACATATATAATTACATATTGTTTTTGTGA